AGAGAGTAATGTCCAACAGTCTGTTTCATGAATATATATATATATATATATATATATATATATATATGTATGATCAATTGTCATGCTAGATGCAATTGTCAGTGCCTGACGATTGCATCTAGCATGAAACAGACTGTTTCTAATGTTGACTTCTATGTTCACTTTATATTTTACACACGCTCTGTCTCTGATATTGAGCACTTTATCCCATAAATATACCACATCTTAAGACTATATTTCTTTATATATATATGTATGTGTGTGTGTGTGCGTGTGTGTGTGATAAGATAAAGAAGAAATAGGATTTATCTATCCATTCTGTCAGATTCTAATCCATATTTGATCGCAATATATATATGTAATTGTGTATTTGGCCAACAATCACTCTTTTATACACATTTCATTAAAAACGACTGACAAGGTAGGTTAAGCTTTTGTATTTAATTTTTCTTGTCATATAAATTTCTTCTTTTCTGGACATAAATTATATAGAAATTTGTCGAAAGCTAGTAAATAACGGTTTTCCGAATTACCTTACAGATCACCATATTTGACTTTTTTCTTTCTAAGGTAGCCAATAGCAACAGAAGTATATACTGTATAGAAATATACAACTCCAGTCGACAAAAACAAGAAAATTGAATTTAAAAAAAATTTAAACTGCGAACCTCATCGTCAGTAGCAATAACTCGCCTGTAAGAGCCAAATTACTGAGAACGAATATTATTTAGAAATTCACATTTCCCTTAAGGGACTGTTCCTGATTAAACCAAATTCTTAAATAATTATATTGGATATATTACATGTCTAATAAGAAATCTAACGTTACATCTCTCTGACCATAGCTCAATTAGGTCTCATTTAAATACACATGGAGACCTACTATAATACATGCATAACATACGCGTTGATAGTACTGTTTGTTCCTTTCGAAAATAGTCATCAAAATTCCATCCTTATCAAAGATTAAGTTCAATAAAATGAATACTGAATAAATAAACCGTGTCCATGATCTTTGAGTCTGATTTTTACGCTTGAACCTTATTGGTGGTAGATAGTTCGATGTTTCTGCAGAATGGCCGTTGTTTGGTGTTCGTCATGTAACTGTTTCATCAATAGAGACAAGTCGTTCCAAAATTAAATCAGTAGATCGCTGTCAATGCTGCCAAATCAACATAAACGTGTTTACTCTATATCGTTTCTGGTCAGCATTTTGCCACCCACATGTCTGACAGTGGATATTTACATTGGCGTCGGCATACTCAACTGCTCATGAATTATAAATTCAGCGTGTTCACTGGACATCTTTCACGTCTCAGAAACTCTTTTAGCTGATATTCGTCGGCCGACCAATATTAAATCACGAATATGATTAACAATTTCAACAGTTCACACCGTTGAAGGCCTCCAAGACCATGCTGAATATTGAGTCTCAAAATGTCCACGCTAGAAATCGAGGACATATCACTTCTTCACAGTTACGAATATCACCGAATATATGCATTCTTCACAGATGAATATCCTTTAGAGTTTTCTTCAACAGGAATATGTCATTTATGGCTGCTTGGAAATTACACATTTTCGGTCGATATAGTTCAGTCAATGATCTCAAATTCCAAAATTAAACTAATGGCATTGGAAATTGGCACTTTACAATATAAGAGAACAATCTTTACGAGCCACTCTGATAAAAGGTACTAAGGTTTTAACCCATTAATACCTTTCAGATGTTGGGGTTGGAGCATTCCTTGGTTATTGTTAGAAACCTATGGCTACTATCGGAATTTTATAAGCCTGCCATACAGGATAGTTTTTTAGAAACCTAGAATTAATACTAGATTTTCATTTTAATTCTTATGATTAATACTTGATTTGACGGTAAGTACTGATGGATTAAAAATGCGGCGGTCAGAGAATTTTTCAGTACCTCCTCATGTACGAGTATAAGTAAAAAATTATTCGTACTTTCGCCATAATATATCTGTAGGTTTGACACACTGCCTTCTGCTCATGTGTGCTTAGAGTTGATACTATTATGGTCACGTGATCGAAGTTAGAGTTTGATGGCGTCAGTTTTCTTGCTGGTGTTAAAGTGTAAACATGGCCGCTCTGCTAGCAGTGTGCACCAAGGAGGAAAAAAGAGCTGTGATCCGATTTGTCTGATAGGAAGGTGTGTCAGAGGCTGTAATTCATCAGTGGTTTTTAATACAATACGGCGACCGTGCACTGCCGCGTAGAAGTGTGTATGGGTGGATTGAGAAGTTTAAAAGAATACCGGAAGAAGCAGGACGGCCAACAACATCCATCACTGACGAGAAGATTCAGCGATTTTGAGAGAAGTGATGGCGAAACGGCATGTGTTATTATCGATGAGGTAGCATGTTCCCTGAATAAAAATAAAATAAAATCCTGTAATTGTCCTTGTCCGTAATATTCAATGAAAAATGTATAAAAGAAGGATTATCATATATATATATATATATATATATATATATATATATATATATATATATATATATATATATATATATATAATGTAAATGTCGGTGGTGAAAAATCTGATAGCACAATTTTCAAACAAATTGGTATCCGAGGAAAAAATTGAAAAAGAAAGAACCAGAAACCTCCGAACAGAGCGCGAAAGAAATCGTCCAGTATCTTAAATTTCTGGTACAAGGAAAAAACAAGTAATAAGTTAAAGCGAACAGTGACCAATACGCTCAGTAGAGCAAAAGTAAAATAAATAAATCCTAATGAGCCAGGTACTACCTAGTTTGGCTTCACCACATGGGATATATATACACACAAACACATAGTCACCCATATACAAGCCTGTTTCGCTGTATCACAGTTCATCTGTGTGGCTAGACATTCAATTGCTTCAAGCCGGGATCGAAATTCGGCAAATTTGGTACCAGTCCGAGATTCTACCCTTAAGCTATCGGCGCATGGCAGAGAAAGAGAAATAAAGACAATAAGAAAACTTAATCGACGTGTTTCATACTCTGTTTGACTTAAGGCAAATGTAAGGATTTTATTTTGCAACAAATATTTATATAGTTTTAAATGGAAGAAACGCTTATAAATATTCATGAGGCTGACGATAAAGTCATGGTAAATTATGGAGGATGCTAGGTGACATAATTTAATATCTAATAAACCAAAGTGAGTAAATTATGTTGTTGAATTTTTAAATATTTATTTTATATTTTATAACTAACTAACTAACTAACTAACTAACTATATATATATATATATATATATATATATATATATATATATATATATATATATATGTGTGTGTGTGTGTGTGTGTGTGTATAAAATTGAAATAAAATTTGCTGACTACTCCTGATAAGTGTACCAAAAATTCCACAAACGTTTGTATACGAAAATTCTATATTTGTATTAACCAAACACACACACACACACACACACATATACACACACACACACACACACATATATATATATATATATATATATATATATATATATATATATATATATGTTTGTGTGTGTGTGTGTATGAGCGATGGCTGAAAAAAGTTCTCTGCCCTACCAAAACGTGGATAAGACCGCAAACCTTTCAGCAAACTTACAATTACATATCCAACGGATCTATTTTGGTTTCGTGTTATTGAGCGAGTTGAAATTCTTCTTTTTTGCAAAGTCGTATTTCAAAATTATTCTGTTTTGTGATTAATAAGAAGGTGAAAAAGATTCAATCAGTAATTGTCCCTAAACATTTAAATAATCATAAAACTATATTGGAAGTAGATTGTGGAACATATGGAGCAACGGGTTGGCTGTTCAGGTGTTTGTCTACTCTGCATGGCCACAAATAGAAACACTTTTCTGTTTGGGTTGGTTATGAATTCGTTTCTTGGCGGCATAAAAACCCGCGCGTCAATGAACCTTTCTTTCTTTTATTTTTTTGTTCTCTCAAACTCTAAACAAATTCTTAATCAATAAGACTGAAAATGGCGAAGATTTTCAAAACCGTAGAATGAATTTAAAACTCAGAAATTAAAAATTTAGAATGGTATTCGGGAGATTTTTGAAAAGTCAAGCGTCAAATATATTGTACAGAAAATCTGACGCAACTGAAATGTCAACACCTGTGACTATAGACGTGACACCTAATCCAAGGATTATTTGATAGAAACCAAGATACATATAAAATAAATAGTGGATTTCATTGAGCGTGTACGCACATTTGTTCGTGTATGTCTGTGTGTGTGTGTATGTATCGGTAACAGCTGCTTGTTTTGAAGATAACAACACCCCCCAACCAAAAAAAAAAAAAAAAAAACTAACCCTAATTGTTGTTAAATTAGTATCAGTCTCCTCTTGAATGTCTGAAGAGATGATGATTATAAGTGTTTGGTTTTTCAGAGAGGAAACGATCGTTTTCAGTGAAGAATTTTTAGAAGCCCACATCTGTGTAGCATCACTCGTGAATGCAATTCGGCTTTAATTTACCAGCAACTTTTAGAAATAGAATTAAATGTGAATAAAATCCAACAGAAATAAAATCAGAGCTATGAAAAATCAGAATCTGTATATTTCGAAAAATTATCCATACTCATAGTATCCGTGAAAATTTCCCGATTTTCTTTTATGATGAACCATAATTATTAAATTAATGATTAAAATCCTTGCGACTTACACGACTATAAAAAATACCAATTGAAATTCCCATTTTGCCTTCTTAAATATTTGAGTTTAACATATTTAACAAAATATTGTAACAACAATCATAAGTATGAATACAGGTTGTTATTTAAAGAATTAAGGGGGTACAAATGAAGAGATTAAAAACTACCAAGGTTTTCCATTTCACTAAAGCAGAGGCTAAATGCCTGAGAGCATTATCGGATCCGTTATCATCTCATATATCATTTTTAATTTTTTCTTTGTCTGCTTGTTTGTTTCTTTCTTTCTTTCTATTGTTATTATGTATGCTTTCCTTTTCTCACTAAGGCTTACAGACACATCATGTTGAAAAAACGGTTCCTGTACGATTACCGAAGTTAAGCAACGTTGAGCCTGGTTAGTACCTAGAAGGGTGACCACTTGGGAATTATCAGGTGCTGTAAGGTTGGCTGTGCGGGTGGTGTAATGGATAAAGGCTCGGAATTGTTAATCGGAAAGCCGATTTCCAATACTCGTTGGGTTCGTTATATTCATTTACGCGCAAGTACTCTTGGGAAAGGTATGAATCCACCTCTTCTCCCCCTTCGCTATGGGTTAATTAGTAAGACTTGTGTCACTAAAGCATTATTATCTCCCAAAAAATTCTTAAAATCTAAAAATATATTCTGGCTTTAAATAACCTGAAAAGGATTAATAAGCCGTAGAAAACGCATCAATCAGTATATCTGTTGTTGAGAGAGAGACAACAAAGAGAAGTATATTCCTGCTACGGTGAGAAGTGAACATAAGCAGCTTTAAGAAGAAAAATGGATTCATGCCTTTATTACAGATATTGCAACACAAGTGACTTTAGCCGAAATTCGATTTCAGTTCATTGATTTTGTTTTTTACATCGGTAAAGTTAGAAAAATTTACCCATAAAATAAAAAAATGAATTAACCTAACGTATTGTTTCCATCGTTTACTTCGAAGTAATTCACTTGTGTCGATATGCTGATTCAAAAAGTTCACTGCTCACAAGGGTTAGTGTAAAACTCTGTACTACATTCAGTTCACGCACATTCTCCATATAGTTCCTATATCTATCTATCTATCTATCTATCTATCTATCTATCTATCTACTTCATTTTGTTTACCTCTATCTAACAAATTACCTAAGGGGTTAGAATTTAACTGATGCTCTTTAATTAGTAATACGTTTTTTTTTATCCACATTAACGTTGGTTCTTGGTGCAGTGTGTTTAGAACGTTTTTTCTTCTGAATTATCTTCATTCTCAACCCGATTCCATTTTCCAAACGGAAATCAATTCTGATGACGCGAGAACAAAAGTTGAACACCATATACTCTTATAGCAAGTCTTAAGAGAGTGACATGTCCACAAGCATACAAGTGTTCACACATCACATCGGAGGAACAGGTGTTTTATCCAGGTATTGATTATAATATAGGTATCCGGGTTTGGGTGGAGATGGGCGTCAATTTGTGCATAGGGAGATGTGGGCGGAGAGAAAAGATGATTATGAGTCACAGAAGGAAAGAAGTAAAGAGAAGGACAAGGGGGGAAAAAAGAATAAGATAGTTGAGTGAAAGTAGGAAGTCCAATTACTACATAGTTAACCTTCTTTCTCTCTCGCTCACTAACACACACACACACACACACACACACACACACACACACACACACACACACATACACACACACACACATATATATATATATATATATATTAGATCGACGACCAATATAATAAATAAATATTCAAATGTTGGACAGATTTTGACTTTATTTTTTCTTGAAACTAAAGCCATTATACGATCATTGGAAAAGCTCACTATAAAACATAATAGACATTCGTTTTCTATTATATATATATATATATATATATATATATATATATATATATATATATATATATATATATATATATATATATATATATATATATATATATATATATATGTGTGTGTGTGTGTGTGTGTGTGTGTGTGGCTTGGATTGTGGGATCGGAGAGCCGAGTTCGAATTCCAGTCGAATCCTTTACATTCATTTACGTGCTAATACCCTTTTGGGAGGTATAAATCCTCTTCTTCTCCCTCCAGCTATGGGTAAAAAGCTGGACAGATTGGGTTCTATAGCTTTGGATGGCAACTGGTCTCGGAGAAGGACAACTCTGAATTCAAAACCTGCGGAGGGTCGTTTGGGGACGTTGTGGCACGTAGTGCACCAGGTCTCTATTTGGCCCTTCAAAAAGTGTGGATGGTTCTGCACAAACCTTCATCACTATAATCAAATCATTTGTGCTGGGGTCAGGCTGTCGGTGCCTATGATCGTCATAAGTCGAATTTGATGGGAGAGATATATATATATATATATATATATATACTCGCTTTGTTTAGCATCCAGTCTAGTGGAAAGAAAACTTGATAAAGTTATTTGTATACGTCTTTACATTTCTCTGTTATCGGTTCTTTCGAAAAATGTGGCTTGTTCTCTACAAACTTTCACCACTTCACCTTCAAATCATCTGTTTTCGCGTGGAGTTTCAGTTTTGAAAAAGGTAAACTGTTTTTATATATATAAAGAATTAATGGAGAACTGATTAAAATATTTAATAATTATATATATATATATATATATATATATATATATATATATATATATATGAAGAATTAATAGAAATATTTTCATCTGATATTTTTGGTACTTAGTCACGCCGGTGAAAAAAAACTGTGCAGATATGGGCTTTCGAGAGTAAATGAACGAAAAAGCGTGCATTCTGCAAACGAGCAAATTGCACGGATGTGACGCTCTCCATGGACGAGAGTTTAAAAGTACATCGGATCAAACGCTGGTTTCACCTACAAAGAAGGATGAAGATTAGAACCCTGCTAGAGATCACATGTTCTGGATTAAGTGTTCTTGTTTTTACAGACCGACAGGAGTAATACACACTGTTTAAAAATAAAATAAAATTGAATTTTCATATATATATATATATATATATATATATATATATATATATATATATATATATATATAAAGAAAGAACAGTAAGCTATATAATCCGGTGTTCTTATAGATATTTTTATTTTTACTAAATAGTGCTCAATGTAAATTTACAGAGCATAATATTATAGATTAATTGATTTAAAATGTGTTTTTTCCGCTACACATTTCTAACCATATTTCAAAAATAGAAGCTAAAAGCCCCGAATTTAATTTTGCAAATAAATTACCGTTAACAATAATTTACAAAAAAAAAATCCAGACGACATGCATTGAACGGATGTCAGTTTTCATTGAAAAATACATCCCTACCCCTTACCAAATTGTAGCTAATAACTGATACAATGATACTGACATTAGGAAAATCTAGACATCCCTTGTCCAATTCAAGTAGAATATTCTGTAACCATGGAAACGTGATTTTAGCTGTGTCTTTAAAACCCAGTAATTTTTAAAAGTTACTCCAAAATTCGCTTGAGGATTAAATGGAACTAATGCTTTTAATTTAATTGCAAAATTAAATTCGGGGCTTTTAGCTTCTATTTTTGAAACATGGTTAGAACTGTGTAGCGGAAAAAACATATTTTAAATCAATTATATATATATATATATATATATATATATATATATTATCGCTGTTATCACTGTTAGGTTATTTAAAGACTGAAGTATTTCTGCAAGCTCGTTTCTTGACTGAGGAAGTATATATTTCGCTAGCAGCGTTCGAGTCCATGCAGAGAGTCAGAATTTCGAATGTAACCAAACCTTTCCTATGTTAAATACAGGTGTAGCAAAATCTCCCCATCATTTTGCCTTGTGCCTTACAAATAAGTAAGAAACCAGCAGATATCTATATATTGATTTTAGTTCATGGATTTTAAATTGACCGGTTTAACACAAATAGAGAGTGGTGAAAAAATATCTAGTGAAAATTACCCCCCATATATATATATATATATATATATATATATATATATATATATTCATCAATTCACCTCAAGCAAGACGAAAATGCTACTAATACGCAAGTAGCTACTGGGTGTGAAAGAGAATGAGAAGACTCTAGAAGGAACCGGAAACCCAATGCTAAGCAGGAAACAACGGTAAAACCTCTCCCACCTGTTCAAAACACCGGGAAGGAGTGTATTTAATTTTATTATAATCATGAGATTTTTTTCGTTTCTGCAATAGCAAAAGCTAACGTCCATGAGTTTAAAGTAAGGAAGTTTAAAAGTTTAACTTTACATAATTGTGAGGACCTGATTTTTTTTTTCATTAGTATTGATCGACAAAAAGTGGGTTGTCAAAATATTAATAAACTGTTACAAACAAACCATAATTTGAATGAAAATAACTGAAAACCGATATATCCTGCCATTCACTCTATAGGACTTTTTATTTAATTGCCTGGGCGAGAAGTTAGTCAGATGAAAGTGGTTTGCCCATAGTCTTATTTACATACAGATATTTTGATGATAATTTAAAGTACAGGGATAAGTGGATTCATGCTTTTCAGTCCAAATTCGAACCCTGTTAGCCAGTTCTATTTCTCTCTGTAGCAATGACGCTCGATATCAGTTAATAAACAACGGAAACGCGTAGATCAACGAAGCATTTTTGCTTTTACCGTTATTTATGCAGAATGATAAGCCAAGCCAAAGTGAATGGGTCTTTTTCGATTATTAACTTGGGCTGACATAAAATTTGAAAGCAAATTTATTTGATGGAAATTAATCGTATTTTTAAACTTCCAAATCACATATCGTCATTGGATGTGATAATGTCTGGTGACCTGTAAAAGGTGTCAGTTAATTTTACGCATGCAAGAACACTTTATTCGGTCGATTTTAATAGTTACGATTAACTTTTATGTCAGTTATTACTCGATACTGGAAACAATTGCAATTTAAGTTTAGTAGTTGTCAGGGCGTGCAGGTAGAGTAACTGTTATCAGAATGAAAAGGAATTGGCGAGCCGAGTTCGAATTCCAGCTTTATCTGTCGCATTCACTTACAGACAAATACCTTCTGGAAAGGTAGAGATCTAATTTTCTCCCCCTCAGCAATGTTAAATAGATTATCATCTATGTCTTTGGTGGCAGAGAGTCTTGGAAAAGTAGTACACTTAAATCAAAACCGCGGAAAAGACCACGGAGAATCACGTGACTATCTTTTCTTAAATGAAATGTTGCGAGCCTATCGCTATTTACATGGCTACCTTCTTTAGTCCCACCACTCTGACCATTACAACAGAGTGTGTATCATCCTCATTCCCTTCGTATTCCATTAGCAAGGAGGAAGTTCCATTTGGACATCATTGTCCCAAGAACTGTTGCTTTGTGGAACAAACTTACGGTAGGTTGTTTTCCCAATCCAATAATCTTGACTTCTTCAATTCTAATATTAACCGTTTTATTTCCTGCGTAGCCCCATGA